AGTTACCTCTTCAATTATAAAAAACAAATATTTTTCCTAATCAGACAGTTTTTTTCGCTTTTCATTAGACACATTTTTCAAACATCAGTCCATGGAGAAAGAATAATAACATAAGAAATGCTTGGCCATGTTAACATTTACCACTTAGCTATTTTTACTTTTTTTTAGAAAAACTGCTAGATAAGCTTTTAATGAGAATTATGAAATTAAAATCTTTTGCAACAGACTTTTAGAAAACAAATAATTAACTCTTAATTAAAAACCTTTATATGGATGATGCCTTATTTTGCAACATCAATACATGAACAAATTTTAAATATGATTTGTCTAAGATATTTGAAAGAGGGGAAAAAAAGAGCCTGATTTTATTTAGTATTTCTAAATCAGAATTTATTCCCTAACCTTTCAAAGGCTAAGTTGAGAGGTCTGACTCAAATGGAGAAGAAACAGTGAATGGGACAAAGCATGCAAGAGAACAAGAGAGAGACCATCTTCTGCCTGCTTTAAATAGCTTTTGGTAACAATTCTGAGGCCACTTTTCCTTTCTGGGACTCACAGCTTCAAAAAATAGCCGATTTTGACATGTTTCTAAGGAACAGATTCATGAATAAAAAGAACATATGCAGCCAACATATAAACTTTACCACAATTCTACATATCAAGCAGATTACTAACTTCAAAAAGATATGAGGAGTGAGGGAAAGCCTGAATTATAGAAAAGTCAAATATCTTTGGTGAAAGAATAGAATTAATAAAATCAACAAAGACTCTCATAGCACAACAGCATTATATATTAACCCACAAAGAGGAAAAGTAATGGTCATTTTAAAGGCCTATTCATCAGATCAAAAGGATATTCAAAACCCTCTCTGCTAGCTCTTTGGAAATACATAGTATATTGTTAACTACAGCTACCCTGTGGTGCAATAGGATACTAGAACTTATTCCTACCATTTGTAACTTGTACTCATTATCTAAACTCTCCCTAATGCTCCTGTACATTTCCCTGTCCCTGGTAACCATCATTCTACTTTATACTTCTTCAAGGTCAACATCTTTTAGGTTCCATTAAAACATGTGAAGTGAGAGCATGGGGTACTTGTCTTTCTGTGCCTGGTTTATTTCACTTAACACAATGTTCTCCAGTTTCATGTATGTTGCTGCAAATGACAGGATGTTGTGATTCTATTGCAGACTAGTATGTCTTTGTGTACAAGTTTCACATCTTATCCATTCATCAGCTGACAGACATGTTCATTGTTTCCATTTCTTGCCTCTAGTGAGTAGAGACCTAATAGATAAGGGTGTGTGCCTACTGATTTAGTTTCCCCTGGAGATATATATATATATATATATACATATATATATATATACACATATATATATACACCCAGTACTGAGCTAACTGGAATATATAGGTCTATTTTTAGTTTTTTGAGGAACCTCATACTGTTCCCGTAATGACTGTAATAATTTATAAATGAACACTTTAATCCAGACAGCTCTGAGAGTATAATCTTGCTCTGAAACTCTGTAGCAGAGAGCTTTGGGGATGCAATTTCTGTAAAATGAAGGAATTAATATCTCTTCATAAGATGCTTATGAAGATTAAATGATATCATGTTTGTAAATCATTTAGAATAGCTTCACTAACATGTTTAAAAATTAAGGAAACAGTAAACCATTGAAAATACACCCCCCCCACACACACATACACACATGCCTGCATAAGGATGTGGATTTATAATATGCTAGGGGTGGTATGGGAGGATTAAATGAACTCTAGAGAGGGCAAAGGGGAAATGGGAAGGGAGTGGAAATGAGGGGTATAGGGGTAGGAAAAATGGTGGAATGCGATGGTCATCATTACCCGAAGTACATGTATGAAGAGACGAAGGATGTGACTCTACTTTGTGTACAACTAGAGATATGAAAAATTGTGCTCTATATGTGTAATATGTATTGTAATGCATTCTGTTGTCATATATAACAAATTAAAATTTAAAAAAATAAAGTTTAAAAAACAAAAAAAGCATATTTTATATTAAGCAAGCATTGTAAAAAATATTGCATTTTTTACTTGTTGCAAATTGATTGTATTAAAAAAACTAATTTTATGTTTTATTTTACTTTTTGTTTTCTTTCCCATGTGTGTGTTTTTTCCCCTTTAATTTATAAAACATCTGGAAGTAACTCATATTGCACTCCATAAATATGCATAAATATTATGTGTCAATTGAAAATTTAAGTATTTTATATGCACATTTTTTTCCCTCAATTTCTGATGCTAAAAGGTTGGGATCCTTTCTTTGCTTGCTACCCAGGTGCTAGAAATCCTTCCTGGGGCTTTTCTGCCCAACACTTTGGAATGCAAACTCCCTTGAGCAAGCACTTGTTTAGCATAATTTCACCTGGGTCCTGTCTAAGGGAGTTAGCGAATATTAAAATAGTCCTAACAATAAAATAGCACTCGGTCAACTGTGAAGCCTTCTTCTAAGGGGGAGGAGAATAGCTCACTTTCCCTGAAGGTCCTGAGAAAGATCAATTTACAGGCTCCAGTATGGGGTGGGACCTGCCTCCTTTCCTCCATCTTGGTACTGACACATGCCTCTGGTGACCATCCTTTTGCATCAGAGCACAGTCTGGGCAGGAATGTTACCAGGACTCCCTCTCTCCCCCATCCAAAATGTACACAGTCCTTTTTCTGACCTGGCTTGTGATTGGAGGCTGTTTGCTTCGGATTATAACCTCCAGGACCCCTCTGTCGGTTACAGCCTGTTTCTATTATTCTTAATGAAACTTAAGGCACCTGCAGTGGGGTGTGAAGAAAAGTAAGAGACCTGCATTTTCTCATCTACAGGTACCAGAAGCAGAAGGCCAATAGCAATCCAGCCACCTGAGTAGGCCCAAAGCTGGCATCTGCCCATGTGTCCCTTCCGGATAGACTATTCACCACCATGAAGGATCTTCTTCAGTATGTCGCCTGTTTCTTTGCCTTTTTCTCCACTGGATTTTTGATTGTGGCCACCTGGACAGACTGTTGGATGGTGAATGCTGATGACTCTCTGGAGGTAAGAAGCCTGCACCTTCTTTTTTGACCCGCATTGTAAATTTCCTCCAGCCCTACTGCCGTATGTAAACCTCAGTACACTTCCTAGGATTAATGATAGCAAAGATAGCCAGCAGGGGCAGAATTATGACATTAAATCTTTACATTATTAGTTCATTTAATCCTCACACTAATTTTCAAGGTAGAAACAGCTGTCATCCCATTTTACAGGTGAAGTAACTTCATAAGGCTATTTTTCATAAGGTGAAATTCAATAAAGTATAATTCCATCATTCCTGGAAGAGTCCTCCAGAAATTCACCTCTTCCATTGCTACACACACTAAACTGAACAATGTTCCAGTAACAGCCTTTTTGTTAGACTCTATGACAGCATTCAGGGAACTTGATAGATTTTCTAAAGTGGTGCTAATAATCTAAGACATCAAGTAGTCCAACTCAAGGCATATAAAACCTCCCCACTTGGTAGACAGTAGGAAAATGTCATTTTATTGAATTTCCAAGCTGAATAAAACAATCCAAAGGAAAGTTTTCCACAGGGACTTAGAAAATATCTTTTCTTAAATATGAGAACTGCCTGTTATGCAAGAGTTGAGGAAGTTTACATTTGAAGATTTTATTTTTCTCACTGAAGAAGCTCAAAAAGAAGTACATTTGAAGTTCAAAAGTTTTTCTGTGGCCATAGGAATCTGAGAATTGTAGAACTGAGCAAAAGCCTAATCTTTGGCATCAGCAGCTATTCATTAGTAAGCTTTAGGAAAGTGTGGGTAAGAGAAATAAACCATGTATCAGGAACTCAAAGAATCTACAGCGACACAATTTGCCTTTTTATGTACATCCTGGAGGGAACAATTTATCCTAACAAATGCTGTACTGTCATTTCTGCAAAGTTTAGGAAAGATACTAAAGAGCACGTTGGTATGGTTTTTTCCTTCTAATATTATTTATTAGACTCTCAAGTTGGAGTCAGAAATGGAAAGTAATTATCTTTCTATTTTGGCGTGCATTATTTTTGCTGTTTATTTGTTCTTGCTTTTAATTTTCTTCTGACATCTACATGACATTTCAAAACCAGTGGAGTAATAAATAACTCCTTAGTGCTAGAAAATTATATTTCTAAAATCGGTGATAGAATTGAACTACCATAAAGGATGTCTCCTTTAAAGTGAGTCCAGTGATATATTTTATCTGGCAGTGAATGAAAAATAAAAGCCTTTTAGAGACTGCTGGGGGAAAAGTGCAGATAAAACATCCTGCTGCCATTAGTTTGCCATTATCCAGACTGCCAATAGTAAGTGATCAACAGAGAAATATGCTGGACTTGAGCATACTTACAACTGCGCTCTTACAAAATGATTTTAAAATACACAAAATCACATCCAAAGACATCGTGAAAGTATTTTCTGAAACAATTTGAAAGGCTTTCTGCTTAAGGTGACAGAGTTTCTAACTTTACTTATTAAGAAATAGAGTTTTAGGCAGGGTAAGAATCAAGACTTGTCAGAGAAAGATTGGGAATCCTGGCTTTTAAAGGCCTTCTTCCTTTTATTTCAATACACCCAACAGATTTACCATCTTCCTTGTATAAGAACACACCTAATTAAAATTAATAGAATAAGCAGTCCAGGTCATTCACCTAAAGTAAATCCTCACTAACATTGAGCAAGAGTTAGTGAGTATTTCATAGTTCTCTGTTATCATAAATGGAAGATTAAAGTCATTATATGTAAGGAAGAACCCTATTTCAAGTGAGGCCCCCTTCTCTTTCAATGATCTCTTGTCAATATTTTTGAAGGGATAGGAATCTGTCATACTAACCATTTCTTCATTGGGCCAGGATACAGAATCATCATTTTACCCACAAATTTGGAAGTTCTGATTCTCACTGACTCAATTATACCACTCTTTCTCCTTTATATATCACTGTGGTCTATCCTAATAGCTCACTTTAAGCCACAAAAGTGAACACAATAAAAATGTTACAGAAGAAAAGAAGAATACCTGTGAAAATGTGAGAAGTATTAGAGTCATAGCTTTCTTAATATTTTAGGATGATATAAGCATGAGAGTTAGAAAATGGGTTTTATGTTTCAATTCAACTTACAAATATAAAAAGCATATGTCATATGAAAGTTACTGGACTAATCCTACTAGGGAAGGCAAAGAAAAGGCAAGAATGGGGTCCTGCCTTCCTGCAGTGTACATTGAAGGTGGAAGAAAGGGACATGCAACTATAATAAAACACATTGGTTAATTCATATTTTGAGAAAAAAAAATGAACAAAGCACTACCGGAATAGATATGATAGTGCGATTATTTCCTAATAGGGACACTGAAGCATGTCTCATCAAAGAAGAGGTTTTGAGAAAGGTCTCCCAAAGACGCAAAGGATTTCAAAAGGTAGCAATGGCAGCAGGGGCCTTCTAGATGAGAGGACAATGTGGCAAAAATACAGAGTGAGGAAAAGCTCAAGGCTCGTTAGAGGATTAAGATGAGTAACATGAAGCAAGGGGCTGAAAGAGCTCAAATATTCTTTGGTCTTACTACAGTGTACCTGCCTTGAAGAGTGAAGTTCTTTGTATTAAATGTTAGAACAATTAAAAAAGCACCCAGGATTGTGCTGTGCACAGCCCTAAATCAGGGATCCAAGGCCCTAAGCTAAAATCCTGCTCTTACATCAAGGTTCAATTGTGTTTCTGGAAAGGCCATTGTGGTGAAGAGAACTTGGGCCTGAGATTTTTTCAAGGCTGTGTTCATGTCCCATATTAACTGCCTTCTATTGTGATGAGCTCTTGTCTGCTGCTCCTGTCTGCAATTCACTGCTGCTCATATTCTTTAATTGTAAAATTAAACTCACATGTTCTTAGGTTTCTTTTTGGTCTTTGCTGTCTTTAACATCAGACTTCCTGACTCTGTCTGCAACCCCAGAAAGATGGCCGGTCACTGGACAAGTGGTTCCTGAAGTTCCCTAGATACTTCCATTAGGAACCTAATGGGAATATTCTCTGTTTCACTCTTGCTCCACATACCCTTCCTCCAATCGTTTTTTTCTCCCTTTCTCCCATTTTTAATTTTTTTCCTTCCTTCCTTTTTTTCTTTTCTTTCTTCTTCTTTCTTTAACCTCCTCCTCTTCTTTCCTTTACCCTTTCTCCTTCCCTCCACTTTCTGTTCCTCCTTCTCTTCCGTTTATTTCTCTGTTATCTTTGTATCCCTTTCTCCTTCACCTCTTAATCTCCCCTTTCTCGACCACCCTCTACAGTCTATCTTCTTTCATTCCACAAATGCTCCTGAACTTTTGCCATTTACTGCAACAGGGACAAAATTATGGGGCTTTGAACATCCTTAGGTTACACGCAGTGTAGCAAAGGACAAAGACAGGTGAACTGATAGTTACAGTATGGTGTGGCAAGTCCTGCAATAATGAATAACCCTGAGTAGGCAGCTCGCTCAGTCTTGATATATCAGTGAATTCTGCTCAAACAAACAAACAAACAAAAACATCTAAACTGGACTTGAAAACCAGGCAAAAGTGCCAGGAGAAGTAGAGGGTGTTCCGGTCAAAACAAAGGGTATGCACAGAGATCCAAATACAAAAGCTCTGTATGTTTGTGATTGTATGTATTTCAGCATGATAAGAGTGGAAAATACAGGGTCTGGGTCATCAAGGGCTGTATGTGTCGTGTAAACTATAGATCTTATTCTACAGACAAGGGTGTTTCACTGTAAGCAAATGTGTAGGTGCCCTTTATAGAGATAAATCATGCTTTTATTTGTGAGTAATGATTGGAACCAATAAAGTGAAATATGAGGAGACTAGGAAAATTTTGCTGCAGATCAGTAGAAAAAACAATGATGGTCTGAACTATAATAGTGACAGGCATAAAAAGATATGTAAAGATATGAGAAACTCTAAGAAAGCTCATATTGGTGGGATTGAAAATTGACTGTATGTGGAAAAGAGGTGATAAAGAGAGAAGCTTCAATGTTGGATCCACCTTACCACTTTGGGACAATTGGAGGGGAGGTTGAGTCATTCACTTAGAGTATAAGTGGGGGAAAATTTGTTGCAATACCAAAAGCATCATGAGAAATATTCCTGGATCATGCCGGCTTTTTTCTGGTATAGTTTATCATATAACATCTGGAGGCAGGAACACATTTTTTTGTGTGTGTATGTGTGTGCAATTATTTTCCACACTTTTTATTGGTGTATTATAGTTGTACGTATTCATGGGATTTGTTACATATTTGTACAAAAACAAACTATGACAATGTCATTTGCCCAATATCACTCTCTAGAATTCCCCTGCTCTCTCCCTACCTTCCATCCCTTGGTCCTATTTATGTACTGATCTCCCTGTTTTAAGGAGATCTACCTCCACCTTTGTTTTCCTTTTTCCACTCTAGCTTCTGAATACAAGAGAAAATATACAACCCTTAACCTTCTGAACTTAACTTATTTCCTTTAACATAATGATCTCTAGTTCCATCCATTTTCCTACAAAAGCCATAATTTTATTATTCTTTATAGCTGAATAAAACTTCATTGTTATATATACTACATTTTCTTTATCTATACATCTGTTGATGGACACCTGGGCTGGAGGAAGACAGTTCTCTACAGTGGGTAAGAATGCAGGGTTAGGCTTGACACT